AGTTAATACCAATTAAAGGTTAGAAATTGTGAGTACAAAAAAATGATCGTGGGCGATACCAGTTATAGAGAAGGCACGATCAATGAGCAGTTATGGATAGTGGACAATAACGATTAAGAAAAAACACGCACAGAAGGTAGTTACAAAGAAATACCCGTAAAAAGAGGAGAGCGTTTGTAGTTCACCTATTTATAAATAATATGAAGCTTCACATTTCTAGGGAATGACTTTTTGCATCCTAGACACTGAACCTAACATTATCTGCATACTGAAATTCTACACTGAGTCAAACACCAGCTACCAAGAGACACAGCTGTTGTTGTTCATTGCTGAAGTCGCGCATTTATTTTTTCTGCAATTTGTTTTCAGTTTCTATGTTCATTTTATGTTTTTTTTCCTGCAATTACATCTCTATTTAGTATATTTTTGTAATTATGTTTAGTTTGATACTATTTTTATTTCACCATTCTACTATTTCTACTCAAGTTTATCCTTTACGACGTGAATATGAATTGTTACGTAAAAAACACACTTAAAAAGAATTCAAAAGGGTCCAAAACTCAATTATAAATTTGAATTTATTTACTTATAATATGCAATTTTCATCGTAAAGACTTTCCCCATGGAGTTATGAGATTTGTTTCCAGGGCAGCTTCCAAACGCAGTCTCATAAACTTTTCAATTTCCCACTTCTTTTATGATAAATTAACTTTTATATCGATTGGTATGCTTTTTGAGATAATCAAACATGTCACCATGTTTTAAAAAATTATTGCTCATGAATTTCAATAGTTTTAAAATATTTTGATCAAATATCCACCGTTGGAGTGCCGTTGAATTTAGAGACCTAATTGAAAATTTAAAATTATAAGGATTTAAAACTTTATAATTAAGCCTTCAGAATTTGCTTTCTTATTAGATCCCTACAATTTTATTTTAGTTCATAAATTCAGCCTGTAAATGTAAAAATAGTTCATTGCTAGACATTGGACTGTTGACGTAATTCACGTGAAGAGGGAAGGAAATTTTGGAAATTTTTACGCTGAATTCCTAACTAAACTATATGCTCTTCAAAGGGTGATAGTTTAATACTAATTTTTCCTCTAATGACTATTAATGTCCCCAATTGTGGGGTTTTATTTTAAAAATTTGGGCCTTTGAGGTAAATCACTGTTAAAGATCACACTATAATAATATTAGGGATTTATATATTAAAAAAAAGAAGCGAGCCTTTAAATTTTAATAGCAATTTTTAAGAGAAACCAAAAATCACCCGGCTATAGCAATTTTAGTATGAATATATTTTTTTGAAAAAAAAAAAGTTAAAAATATATTGGTTCCAGTTCAAACTTCATATGATATGTTGAGTTTAAGTTCTCAAATTTTGATTGAAAAAAAAAGATATATAGAAACAATTATTTGGTCAAATTATAGTTTAGGTTTTTTCAAACTCAAAATTAAATACAAACAGTGATTCGCTATTTTAATTTTAATTTTTTTACACTTTCAGAGTTCAGTATCTAATAGTTACATTAAGCATCAACGAATCTAAACTTAGTTAAGTAAGTTCATTTTAAAAGAAAAAAAAAACTCATAACACGTTTAGCATTGACAAGATTTCATAGCACACCTCTAAAGTAAAATATTTAAAAGATTAGTAAAACATCCCAATTTAACCCTAAAAATTATTTACCCATTTAAGGCATGGTTTAGAGGTAACATAAGGAAATTATTCCCGTTAATTCACCACGAACTTGAGCATTATTCGTCGATTCCAAAACTTACAATACTATTGAAGGATATTACTTGATGGTACAAACATAAATTGATTTGAATGAGTCATTATTATTATTATAACTATCTCCTCGCACTTTTGTTTTCATCTTGATATCTGTTTTCATTAATTAATTTAAATATAATCTTGCCAATTCGTATAAAAAAAAATTCAAACTGAATAACGATGCTCTGCGACCAAAGCTAGTCTGATGCGGAAGTACACCAAATGATTTAGTTTACTAATCATGAAATCGTAGAAAATTACTGAATGTTTTAATGCAGAAGGATACCATGAGTTAATGAAAAGCACAGTCTAATTAATTAAGAAACTAGAAAGGAATGCGTATATTGAATTAATTTGCAGTTGCAACATAGATAGTCGAATATTGTAGTTTATGAATTGAGTGACCAAACACCACTGACCATGCATGCATATGTGGTTTTCTCTAGACCTAGTGTCCAAACTTTTTGGACTAATGGTCCCTTAAAACTCAAAAGAAAAAGAGATGCAACTAATGAACAAACTCCTATGTACATTTGTGATCCAAAAGATGACAAACATACTCTCACCGACCAAATTTCATTGGCATGACAAATTATACTTTTTTTCTTCTTCTTTTTTCTCAACTTGCTTTTAAAATTAAGATTAAAATGGGAAATTCCATAACAATATATAATTTCAATTTTAATTAATAAACATAAAATAATAAATAAAACAACCAAAGATAACAAAATCTAACATTTGGGGTATTTAGTGATTAAAAAAATTAAAAGGTACAAATATATAAAGAAGAAACATTTAATTTGCCCAATTTTCTAATATGAATGCTCTCATCATCGTATCATCACCACCATTCTTGCTTTTTTAATTATTATTATTATTATAGAAAAATAATTTATTGTAAGCAACTGCTGGGAAAAATATTAGTTAAGAAAACTAAAGTACAATTATTTACTAAAAATAAAAATATTTGATAAAATATATTAAATATTAATTAATTAATATCTGAAAGGAATTCATTAATTTCATGGTATTATTTTTTATTAAACATTAATTTAATTTTTGACCCAAAATAGAATAAAAAATATAACATAAATTTAAAATAAAACTAGTATTTTTGAAAAAAATATTTTAATTAGAAAATATTATATGCAGATTTAAAATTTTTCAATAATTAATTAATTTAAACATTTACTTTGAAATGAAAACATCGTTATCGTTGATTTATACTATCATAATAAACATCATAAGAAAATGAGCATTCATTTCGATCCCCAAATGTACTCGTGATATTGATTTGATCCCAAGAAAGGTTTACATCAATTTAATTCGTCAATAATAAAAAAGTAAGATGAGTTAGTTCGTTAATACCTATTTTATTAATGTATAATGTATTATTTTAAATATATAAATAACAAATTATTAAAAGTTTTTGTCTATCAATGTTAAAATTATCATAATTGAATTGATAAAATTCATGTTTAATAAAAAAAAATAAAGTATTCTTTTATATGTAAAATTATGGCTTTTTTTATTAAAAAAAATTAATATACTAAAATATGAAATTTTAGAAAAAAAAAATTACAAGTATATGAGAAATTTTCAAAATTGTGATTTTAGTGTTTAAATTTTTTATTTTTTTTAAAAATTATTATTGACCATTTTTTATACTTTATAATTTTTAAATTGTTCAATTTCTGATGCCAATTTTGAATTTCGTTTTTTTATAATCTTTTTAAAAATATCACATTTTAGTGAATATTTTAAAAACATGTAAAAATATCCAAAAAAAATTCATGTCTGGCTTTTGAAATGACGACCGTAGCTTAAATTTAGGATGAAGCTTTGAATCACTTCCATTTCTTAGTTTTGAATTTAACAGTGTCCGGCAATTAACATCAATAAGGTGAGATAGTAGTTTCCCAGCAGAAGTCAGCGAAGCCCTCTAAAGATTCTCCAAAACATAACTACTTATCTTTCCATACTCTGATCATAGTCTTCCCATTTCTGAGAAGGAAGTCTCTTCCCCGTGCCAGAGTTGTCCATTACCAGTATGAACTCCTCTATCTACCTGCCTCCCAAAAATTTTACTGCGGCAAGTAAATTCCTTTCAATTAATATATTTTGCGCCTCCCTTGTAAAGGGTATATAAAATAGAGATAAAAAGAAGAAGAAAAAGAAAGATATGATAAATAATATATTAACAAAATAGATACTACTATAAGAGATTAGAGATTGTTTTTTGGTCAACAAGAAAGTATAAAAATTTAATTAATTTTACGAATGTAGCCAGACTGAAAACCAGCTCTTTTACAAGTCTTTTTAATTTGCTTAATCTACTAAGCCCAACTCATGTTAGGACTGAACCTAGACAAGCCCAACCAACCTATTAAATGGACTGAGATATTAATATTTGCATAATAAAGGCTATATAAACTGACGAAAGTTCTAGGCTATATGCTAATAATTTACAGATATTTTGAAATGACATTGACATAAAGATTTCGATTTATATTTCTAACATATAATGTAGCTTAAAATTTGTGCTTTTACCATCCACCACAGCTGTTTATTTGTGTACGTGGCAGTAATCTTTTTAAATCATGATATGCAAAGAATGTATGGCAAAGATGTTAAAAAACATTATTTTTCATCAAACTCTTTGGTGTATTCGATAGCAAGAATTAAATCTTTGAAAAAGGATGTTTCAATCAACTTTTAATTTTTTTCAAAATTATCAATGGTACCATTTTTATCAAGAATCCAGTAATCAGAAGAAATGCGTTTATAGGAATTCATCCAAAAATTATCATTATAATTTGCTTTATCACAACATAATATATACATATATGTAAAATATAATATAACTTTATTAAGTTGTTAGAGCGTAAATGTCATCTTTACTCAATTTTTCCTCAATTATCAACTTATACATGTTCAACGAAAACCGCCCCCGCCCCCTTTTCCCAGTTCTACCAGGCCAAAAAGTCGGTAGTTTTAATCTTACGCAAATATTACACTAGAAAATTTTAATAATATAAAATATATTTTACAAGATAATTTAAAATGTATTATTCTTGCTTTCACAACACAAAATCAACTATTAAATTCATATAACCAAGTTTAACACAAAAAAAATGAAGTTTATTAAATATAATAAACTATTAAGGATTAGCAGAAATTGTAGCAAGAAGTAATCTAAAATTATAAAATATTATATTTAAAAAAACATTTTATGATAATATTAACTTAGTATAAATTTTTAACCAATAATATTTTTAAAATTGTATATACACATTGTTAAATTTTCTCCTGGACGGACCCGCATAAAAACTAATCAAGTCTAAGTGTAAGCCTAAAGCCGGCCCTGTTAAACGGCTGAAATACACTAAAAATTCGGCACACAAAACTAATGTGGGCAACCGAATGAGAAACCTCAAAAACGAATTTTTGGACGCAATGGGACATGGTGTGCAATGCTGACATGCACAATGAAGTGTAATGCGCTCCGCTTCATGTGTCGAGATCAGAAAGATCAGCTCACTACTTTCTACACAAATTATGTCTCAGGCCAGACAAGAATTGATTATAGCACCAGCTAAACTACCCCACGACCGGACCCGCGCTCGTGCAAATGGATAAGAGTAGGAAGTAGTCAACTCTTCACTCGCCTAGTTGGCTGGAATTGTTGGATGTGCCATTAAGATAAGAACAAAAACAAAAATCATGCTAAACAGTCTTTACTGGAGCACCAAATGGACCATTTACCCATACTCTACATGCTCCAACCAAAAAAGATCAATGTATTCGATCCCCTCCCCCTCCCCCCTCAAACCGCATTTTCATCTTCATTCTGATCCTGAAATCATCATGTGCTCCGTACCTAGCCCACATTTCATAAAAAACATAGTTTGGTCAATAATATGGAATTTTGGGGTTGATATTAAGTAAACAAAAAACCACAAGGGGTTTTTTATGTTGGGGAGGAAAAATATAAAGGGATCAAATGGGTCTTAGGATTATCCGGCATCACCCTCCCACAAAAAGCCTTTTTACACGCAACTCGCCACGTACATGGGTGATGATGGGTCACCAATGCCTTCCCTGACCGCTGCCGCCTTTGTTTTTTCCAAAGAAGGCATTCTTGGGTTTTGGTAATTCATGGAGGTCCATCACCTGAATAGTTCTTTGTTTTTTGGCTACACCCCCCACCACAGCACAGACAAAATAGCAGTCAGTGTATATATATATGTATCGAACTAACCAAAGAAACAATACTAAGCTAGTACGAAAATGAAATAAAATTTTACCATTTGCAGCCTCTTTGTAATTCTCTTGAAGCCGTTTTCTTGCCGAGGCAAGTCTCTCCGAATCAAAATTGCTCTCTCTCTGTCTCTGCAATCATTAAACAACGACTAAGACCATTCATACCGATGTTCCTGCATAAGCGCTACCCAACGGAGCTAAACTCCACACTTGCTGAATTATGGTTTTAAACTTATGTGATTTTTAGGACACAACCTTCAAATTTTAGCAGCCACATTTAGATGTCAGAGTCAGAGACTCCAAAAGGTTATAAATTCAAATCCGTACGTTTTGAGGAGGAGCTGGAGCAGGGACTGATGGTGATGGCGCGGATTTTGGGGGAGCTTCTTTGCGAGGAATTGCTTTTGGCTTTTGTTGCGCTTCAGTATTGATGCGCTCTGACCCAAAAATCCCATCTGTGAGAGCAGGAAACATGTTATTATATCAAACAAATCCAAACGGGACACGGAGGAAGATTGGAATCGGATGCTACACTCACTGTGTGGGTTTGGTGAGTACCCAAAATCAGGAATCTGCAAAAGGAATAGGAATATTAGAAAGCCAATTTGCCAAACAAAGCCTCATCTTACCATGGAAAAGCACTGAATGGTAAAAAAAAATTCCTTAACCTGACGATGCTCATTTTGTGGAGTTTTCTGCTGGGGCCAGTCTTCATCAGCTACAACACCAACATTTTCAATTCATCAAGAACTTAACTCTTTCAACAACAAGAATAAATTTTCCCAAGAGAAGATTAAGTCAAGATTACCCATTACAGCAGTACCCGGTGCTCCCGGTGTCTTCAACTTCACCACCCATTCATCTACAATTTCCTTCCACTTCCTGCAAACCCGAAAAATAAAAAAAAAACAAGTCAACGAAAGAAAAACAAATTTCATCAGCTGAACACTGAACTCATGCAATGCATTGCACACAAATATCAATCAACATTCATACTTCATATATTCGAAAACAAAAATAAATAAAAGCTCTTTCCAAAACCTGACAAGTAGCTTCACCAATCTCTTAACATCATTAGACGTATGCTTCCGTAACCGATTCACGTGCCTTCCAATGTCAGTCTCCTAGGGAATTAAATTGACATTAAATTAAAACAAAAAAAATTAACAATTTGAATGAAACTAAACAAAAAGATGTTACTTCTAACGCTTGGAATGTAATATCCATATCTGCCAGATTCTGTAACAGCTCCACCAACGAATCTTCAGACTGATAAAGGACAAATAAAAGCATTAAATCAATTAAACCACAAAAACAAATTCATGAAAAAAACACGTTAACTGAGAAATTAAACAAAGAAGACCTGGTGAGGGTCTTCGAGTTGCTCTTTAATCTCTAGAATCCTCTTCTGCTCGTCATCGAACAAGCCTCCATAAGGATCCTTTTCCTCATCTTCTTCCTCCTCGTCCTCCGTTGATGGACTGTTCCGCTTCTTGATTTCTCCATCGCCGGCATCGCAGTTCTGGCACCGAGGCGGCGCCGAAGCCGCAGTGTATAGACGCTCCACGATTCCATCTCTCCGGCGTTTCAATTCGTCGGCGTAATCGGCGGAAGCCACGGCGATTGCCGCGTCCATCAACACCCAAACGTCGACGCCTGCACTCTCCAATATGGATCGGAAATCCTCCGAATCCATATTCGAACCGAAACCAATGAATCTAACAAATGATTAGCGTATGCAAGAGCACGGATCCACCAGAGAAACAAACAAAGCCGATATCTATTCCCTTTTTTTTCGGAAACAGAAAAAAAAAATGAAGTGTGAGTTTTTTCGGATTGATCCACGCCCAAGTTGTGGATAATGGAAACTCAACGGAACAGAGAAAAAAGGAAATATATACTAGTATATTCCACCAAACTCCATTCTCTCTCTCTTATTTAGGGCTTATTCATATTTGGATGCATGTGTTTACAGTGTGGTGAGCAATAGCATGAGCATGACCATTTCTTTGGCGCGTGTCTCTCTCTCAGAAGCTGTTTTCTATTGTTGCTAATGCTGTGGGGAAATGGAGATGAACGGACAAAGGAAAAAGGGAATCTGTGAATTCAGATCAGGTCACCTCACGTAATAATAATATAATACTCATTTATAATTATTAGTATATCGTGTTTTTTTATTTATATCTTTGTAGTATTTTTTTAAAATTTAAATTTTGATACACTATTTCAAGTTAAAGATATTTCTAAAATTAACCGAGTCTTAAGATTCTTAATTGATTCTAATTTAAATTTTTAAATTTAAACATTAACATATCATATTGTACTAATAAAATTAATTAGTTTCTTTTCAATTTAATTTCTTTATAATTTTTAAATGGATTTGGGTTGGGGGGGTGAACATAGTTGGAAGAATATGGAGATGTGTGTAGTGGAGTTTTCGGCCACTCCGACATATCCAGGTAGGATTTGCTTCGTCCAATAATATAAGCAGTGAAACGGGGAATATATTTATAAAACAAAACAGGATAAAGAGAAATACGACACCAAAAGATACAACCAGTAGTGCTTTTTTCATTCTTTCCGTTGACACTCCCCGTGTCAATTTCTGACTCCCTTCCATCAGGCCCAGTTTTGTTTAAGGAGGAAAAGGCCCAAGTATTTTCTATTGTAAGCCATCTTTTTTCACATGTGTGGGCCTTCTTCGGACTTTAAATTGGGCTTACCCATTCAAGTGAAAGGGAAACCAAGAGGATGGGTGAGGTATGGACCATCCCGCATGTATTGGCCCAGGTTTTTAAATTATTGTAACTGCGATTGATTCGTTATAAACGTTAAGATCAACAAGTGAAGTTGAACAAAAAATAAAAGTGTAAATTTTAAGTTTGGATATGAAGAATGTAAAAAGCCTTCAATTTTTTTTGTTATCATATCATGGACATCAAGCAAGACCTAAAATTTAATAAAATGATATATTGTAAAAGAAAATAGTCGTTATAATAATTAACAATTTTCAGTAAATTCGTGATTAAATGATGCAGATAATATATGTATTATATATTGTAAATTCACTTTAATTGATTTTTCATGCATAAAAATTAAATTTTTTAAATGCTTAAAATCATCTCTGAATGTCTTTTGAAATATGTTGAAGAAAAAATAATCCTTGTGACTGAATTAATGGCTCTACCTGACTTTGCTTGCGTAGCTATGGCGAAGTGATGGGATTGGGTGGTCCGCGGCGCCCTAACTAACTAACAAGCTATTGAAAACAACATTTATAATTCCAACTACTTATTTCAGTAGTTATTTCTAATTCGTTCGGATATTTCAATGCATTCATTAGTGGATAAATATTAGGACTAGCTCTTATTAGTGCCTACTGTGAGATGCCCCAGTCACAGTTATACGTTTGTCAAAATATTTATTTAAAATAATAAGAAAATAAAATATGTTACGTTATGATTATGTGATAACAGATAAAAAAAAATAAAAATTATTCTCACTCTTTTGCGCGCAATACTGTTTTTATTTTTAAGAGATTTTTTTATTATCTTTTATTAACTTTATTATACAAAATAGACAAAAAAATACTTAAATAGAAAAAAAAATCATTTATGAATAATGAATAAACCCTAAACCATAAAATTCAAATAAGTACATTGTTTTAAGAGAGCATGCAGTAATCAGTCATCCATTGATAAAATAAAATAAAATAAACCAAAAAGCATTCATAAAAAATGTTTATTAATTAAATGATTAATGGGATTAGTTAATATATTGATTAATTATAATTATAATTATAATTATAATCAATGAGCATAACATTTAATAATTTTTAAATATTTTTTATTAATATAAGATGTCATTACTTTTTTTTAGTAAAGACTCTCAATCTTTTTATAATTATTTAATTGCGCAACAATTTAAATAAATATATAAATATTAATATTTTTTAATGTTTATCATTTATATACAGTTATCTAATCAACACTTGTCCTGTCACCTCTTATATTAAACATATTTTTACTCGAAAAATTCTATAATAGTACGGTGAGATGGCACTAATTCTTCTCATATATGTATACATATACACACTCAATAAAACGAAGACATAAAATATAATAAAAAAAAGTATTGAGTCAAGGATAGTGAATTAGTTTACTATAATTAATATAACATGATAATGTAACATTTAGTTACATAATTATTATTTAATATAACCCTTTTTCATTGATTTAATTACATATCATAGTTGATAAATATGTGCATTTAGTTTTTCGTTTGTATAATAATAAATTTTTTTTTTTTTACTATTACGAAAGTTAATCATATTTTTAGGATGCATCCCGGCTATCTTTCGTGAAAGCATCCGAATAAAAGAAAAAAAAATCAACCATCCATTGATAAAAGAAAAAAAATCAACAAAAAATAACTAAATGTATGCTCAACATTTAATAAAAAACCATTAAATTAATTACAACTACAAATAATAAGCATAACATTTAATTGCATTGTTGATATTTAATAAATTCTTAAATAACTTTTTTAGTATGATAAGTCATTCATTTTTTGGTAAAGATCATTTATCTATTCCTAAATTGTTTAAATTAAAAATATAATAATGTGATATTTTAAAATGATCATATAACTATTAAATAAAAATTAATATTCATTATTTGTGTAGTCAATTTTTATCCTTTCACCCCTCACGTGAAAAATAATTTCACTAAATAAATCTTCTGATTATGTGTATCAGTCATGGGAGCATAAGCATTGATAGTATGATGGAGGTTAGCTCTTTTAGCATTCCCCCCCCGCCATGTATACAGAGCTTGAATTAGTGACCTTAAAATCAAGCATGCACTTATTAATAAAAAAAAAGTTCTACAAATTTAAACAAAATATCGTTAACTATAACATTTATTAAAAAATCCTGCATAACATTATAAAAGTTTTTTCATTTTGATTCATTCATAATTTATATTATCGGTGAAAATTACCATTTTCTATAATAATTAATTTTTAAATAAAATAATCAACATAATTTGATTATTTTATAGTATATACTTTATATTTTAATAATGTATTAAATTAAATTATATACCTTTAACACACAAAAATTTGAATTGATATCCACATTAATTATATTTATTGATATTGAGATATTGGTAGGTTGATATTTTAGTCACTAAATCAGTCAAAAAATAAATAGCATTCATCTGTGTCTTTGAATACAAAAATCTGTGCATTGATTATGTTTATTAATTGTGTTGTTTGTTGATATTGAGATGTTGGTAGGTCGATATTTTAATCTTGAAAATATCATAAAATTAAACAGCATTTACTTGTCATTATCAACGAAAATTGTATTCAAACGAGTGGACCAATTTTCGTTTAGTAGGATTCTGTCGTTTTGAAAGGTGAAGTGAATTCGATTGTTAGCTCAAAACATACCAGTCTTATTAACTAGTGTATATAAAAAAATTATCATAATCTTTATTAAAACAATATTAAGATTTTTTTTATAAATCATTATTTATGACTAAAAGATTGAGAAATACTAATAACACACTCTTTAATATATTTTTATAAATCAGTATTTATAATAAGTAGTTTATAATAAAAAATATTTTTTATATTTAAATTTTTTTAACAATTATAATTAACATTTTAATAAAAAATATAATATAATTTTAATTATTTAAGGTACAAAATAAAAATGTTAAATTTTTATTAAACCGTTTCTTAATTACTTGAACAACGCTCCTAACTCTAACGGCACTAATTAGTGTGTTATAAGAAAAAGAGAAAAGGACTAATAACAAAGTAAAAGATAAATTGTTTTATTAAACCCCTTTTTGGGCCCCTATGTAATATTATACTTCCAAAAGTAGCAAATTCTTTCACTATATAAACCGACCATGCCATTGTCCACTACAACATCACCGCCAAAGCAGAACAGAGCAACAAGAGAAGAAGACATGGCAAAATCTCCACAAACTGAACTCCCTCTCAAAGCTTTTGGTTGGGCTGCTTCAGACACTTCTGGCATCCTTTCCCCTTTTCATTTCTCCAGAAGGTTTATTATTATTATTATTATTATTATTATTATTATTATTTATCTCTCATTATAATGCAATAGAAATGAACTCACTCTCCTTCCACGGGCCCCTATTCGCAGGGAAAATGGCGACGATGACGTCACTCTCAAGATTCTTTTTTGTGGGGTTTGTCATTCTGATCTCCACACTGTCAAAAACGATTGGGGTTTCACCACTTACCCTGTTGTTCCTGGGTACAATCTTCTTTCTTTTGTGTTCTACACCCATCGTACAACTGCATCTTATTCTCATGCAATTTCATTTAATCCAACTCTTAATTTTTTTAAACCCTGTTTTTAATTATTTAATATTTCTTAAAGTTACCACCTTTTTCCCTATATGCCCATACGTGATCCGGTTCTTTTGTTTTTGATTATTTGTTCATTGACGTTTCTTTTGCTTAATCATTTTGCGTACCCTGAAAATAGAGATGGGGTTGTAATATAAATATGCCATCTTACATCATTGAGTTTGAATGTGGTGGGACAGACTCATATTCTTTGCTGTTCATGAAAATCACGTTTTTCTTGATCGTTTAACCGTCCACAGTTTTGTTTTGGGATTTGGATCTCAATTGTTAATCCACTTAATTTGTCTTTGGAATTTGGTGTAGTAAATGTAACAGGGAAGGAGAAAGGCAAATGTTTACTAGTACAGTGAGTTAGGAATTAAAAGTGAGATTGTTATTGAAAAATATTATTATTGCACTACTTTCTATTGTTTTTTGATGTATTTTAATGTAATTTTTAAGTATTTTTTTCGTTTTTGTTTTTTTACTTTAAGGGTACTTTGTCGCGAGATCAAAAGAAAAAAGAATAAAAAACTAAACCCTTTATAAAATAATCTGAGCGCACGTTTTGTTTTACATCATCTCACATACACTGTGTGTATATTATATTTATCTCACGTTACTTTAGATATGTGTCGTACAATTAAGATTTGGTGGATGCCTAAAATAATGAGACCATATGCAGAAACAATGGAAGCAAACATGGGGTTATGATTCTTTAATTCTCGGGAGCAAAAACTTAAATCTTTTAGTGCTGTTTTTTGTTTGTGGTGTTAATGATGCAATTTTTTTTTGTTAAATTCATATAAGTAAATTAATTGACTTTATTTTAAGTTTCTAATCCTTGAGTCATATGTAATAGTTTAATGCTTACATGCGTTTGCGCAATAGTCAATCCTGAGATCAGGACAATTTTGTGTTTAACATGAATTAACTTTTGTGATTGTGTTTTTTAGGCATGAAATTGTTGGTGTTGTGACAAAAACTGGAAATAATGTGACAAAATTCAAAGTAGGTGATAAAGTTGGAGTTGGTGTAATAGTAGATTCTTGCAAGGCATGTGACAGTTGCCAACAGGATCTTGAGAATTACTGTCCCCGACCTGTGTTTACCTATAACTCTCCTTATAATGGTACACGAACTCAAGGTGGTTATTCTGATTTTGTGGTTGTTCACCAGCGTTATGTGCTCCAATTTCCTGAAAACTTACCCCTTGATGCTGGTGCTCCATTGCTGTGTGCTGGCATTACTGTGTATAGTCCAATGAAATATTATGGGATGACTGAGCCTGGCAAACACTTGGGAGTGGCAGGGCTTGGTGGGTTAGGCCATGTTGCAATCAAATTTGGTAAGGCATTTGGGCTGAAAGTTACTGTCATTAGTACCTCCCCAAACAAGGAAGCTGAGGCCATTCACAGACTTGGGGCTGATTCTTTCCTTGTTTCCTCAGACCCTGCAAAAATGAAGGTAAATGAGGTTTCAAGACTAAAAAGCGTTTGAAGGAACTTGTTTTTATCTGTTCTGGTTTTGACATAGTTAGGATAATGATATTTTTATGCTACTGTTGGGCGTATCTGGCAGCAAATAATTTGTGCTTTGCTTGTTATAAATTAAGATTACTATTTTGCAATGGTGGTCTTCTATTTACTGTTTAAAAATTAGTTTGTTGACGTATTTCTCAAGTTATTAATAAATAGTGACTCAGTAGCTGTAGTCTTTTATAGATTACTATTTTGCAATGGTAGTCTTTTATTTTGCAATGCTCCGAGTGATTTAGCAGCTGTAGTCAATATTAGCCATGAAATATCTCAACACAAGAAAATCTCTCTTCCTCAGCTGAATCAATTAGATGGGCAGCTCTATTTGAGCTCTTTAAAATACAAGAAATGAACTTTGGTCTGCTTCTCCATGATAATGAATAGTATAATAATGGATTGATTGGTCATGCAATTGCTCATAATGTCCTTGTAATTTTTTATAAATTTTATTTATGCAGGAAGCTATGGGAACCATGGACTATATCATAGATACAATTTCTGCTGTTCATTCTCTGATTCCACTGCTAGGCCTTCTGAAGCTGAATGGGAAGCTAGTCACTGTTGGGTTGCCTAGCAAGCCGCTTGAGCTGCCCATCTTTCCATTAGTTGCAGGTAAGCTATCAACTATCTCCAATATGGTAAAATGTAGTTTAATTTCTCACTAGCAATTAACCACACAAGGCAAAAATAACCTGATTTTAGCACAAGGTGTCCCTCATAACACCCAAAGGTGGAAGATACATGGAGTGTTATGTCCACAAAAGGAGTGCTAGAAATACACTTTCTACCATACTCTTTTTAGCACATTTTCGTAGTCAAATAACACTGTAATATGGAATGAAACATTTCTTGTGGCATAACATGTATACTTGAAACATTGAGCAGGTGCTGTTTCATTGTAAATATAATATGTGGATTTGGTCAATAAAATGTCTAAATTTTGTGTGCAGGACGGAAGCTGATAGGGGGAAGCAACTTTGGAGGGCTAAAGGAGACTCAAGAAATGCTTGATTTCTGCGGAAAGCACAACATAACTGCAGATATTGAGCTTATTAAGATGGACCAAATAAACACTGCCATGGAAAGGCTTAGCAAAGCTGATGTCAAGTATCGCTTTGTCATTGATGTGGCTAACTCATTCTCAAGTTTGTAGAAAGCCAAAGCCACCTTTATTCTCCAACTCTTGGCATGCCATGCGAGGCCTTAAATGTCTCGGTATTTTGGGATTATTTTAAATTGCTATTAGATGCGCAACTTTATATACGAGAACATCCTCTCGTCGATTAAATTACTTTGGGTTTTGAATTTTATTTTATTTTCCCTCTTATCATTTTGAAGTCCTAGACTACGTACGCCTTTTCCATTTTGGGAGTGAATCTAAGTCGGCCATTCAAAGTTTTTAATGCTACCGACATTTTACCATCAAATTAATTTTTCAAATATTTAAATATTATATTTATTCTTATAGAGATAGTAATTCAGAGTAATATTTTAATATTATTTATTATATTTTAATCTGGTAACAATGTTAACCATTGTATAATTATTTAAGAAATAATTCATTTTTTCGGCTATTTTCATTTTTTTTAACAGTTTTATTTTATCTTTTTGGTTCATGCTGCGCGACATAATGGCACGTCCCAGTCCAACCGGCTATTGTCGGAGATTCTTACTCCGTTGGACTGTGGACCAAGTAAGTTCTTCTAAATGCAAATGATTTGTTAGCTAATGCATTTTAGTGTATGTGAATATTGTCTGTGTAATGTTAATGGTATATTGCTTTCTGACACGATATTTTATAGAGAACTTTGGTCAATTGTGTATTCTTAAACATAAAATAAGTGGAAATTATTTGAAACAGTTTAACTTCACATTTGCCATTTTAAGTAAGGAGTTTTTATTTGGAGTAAGCAAAAGTTTTAGGATCTAAATCCAAACCAAACTATTTTTGGCAAAAATTTATGATAGATTTATAAATCACTTAGTAACCAATTGTCATGAGTAGTAGAAGATGGATAAAGAAAGTAAACTGTATTCTGCACACATAACTTAAAACCAATAGCATAGAGACTATTACCTTTTCATATTACATTTTTTTTATAATTTTAAAGGGCTAATCGCCATTGTAAATTAGCAAATCTACAATTGCCGAAGTTATACGTTGCTAGGAGTTTGTATTTTACCACATACTGAGAGGTGTTAAAATGGAAGAAACTGAAATTATCTAAACAAGCTACACAGATAATTTAATATCATTATTCGACTTACATGGGAAAGCATGATTTACTCTTTTAAGAGAAAGCAAATAGATGCCAAAGCAGAAAATCAAAGCTTTGTTCGATAAGACATTGAATATTTTTATTTAATTTTAATCCTTCTAGATTGGTTTACCTATATTGGAAATGGCGTCTCCTCTCCATCAGCAGCAGGGGCTGGAGCTGGAGCTGGGCTTGAAGTAGCCGCATCACAATAGGCACGTAAATAATGAGCTTCATGGGCCGTGATGCCCAAGGAAATGAGTATTGCGGGCCAGCATTTATGGGTTATCACTGTAATGGCACAGCAACAGTTGGGCCCAATATCAGCTTGACCATTGGTGAAGAAATGCAAAATCTCATTAGAACAAGATTTTAACTCAATGAGGTGGCTCCAGCAGTCCACTAGGTCTTGTTTTGGATTATTAATCAAGAAGTCCCTTGTTGCTGTTCCATGTGCAACAAAGCATGAAAGGGTCAACAAGAAGAATAATCCATGTTTGAGAGCCATGAAATTGATGCCTTATTTTGTGACTTCAGAAATGACAGTGACAATGACAAGGAAAAGCAAAATTACACAACGATGAAAACCTCTTCTTGTCTAACTACTTATACTTGTTACAAGTTATCATTATTATTTATTCCCATTTAGTGTAATTGAATAGTGCTTTTCAATCAAAGCAGTGGCATGGCTGATTAAAGGAAATAATAATGGTTAATAGGTCCTTGCAAAACCGTAACTGCTTGTGCCAGGGCTTAGCATTGGTCCATGGGAATATGGAAAGCAATTAGTTTGCTTCACTTTCCATTATAACGCGACCTTTCATAATCACTTTCACGTACTTGTTTTTCCTTTTGTTGTTCTTTCGCCAGCGGTGGCTTTTCTTTAAAGAGAAAATTATGATTATTCGTTCGCTTTTCTATAAAGTTGAAATGCATTTTGTTTTTTTAAATATCGCCCATTAGCATGTTATTTGTCTGTTCATTTGAATAGTTGTTTGGTGCTATTTCATTTTTCTCATTTTCATAATTTTTTGCACCTATTTTTTGTATTGATAAAGATATTGTATGCATATGAAATATTAGTAAATCACCAAAAATATGAAATACAAGTACTTACACTGAGGTGTATAAATCATGGACAAGTCTTTATTAAAGCTAGTTTATTTGTAAAATAAGAAAATAAAAAGTTATTTATCATTGATTTAATTTAAAATACACAATAATACTAATCCATGAAGATTTAAGAGTGAATAAACTCTTCTTTTTTTCATTTTACAAAGTAATTCACTTTAGAGGAGATTTTCCAATAAATATTTAGTCAATATTATTTGTTTGAAGAATTTTTTTACAGATATTTTTTATATTTTATGATAATAATTCTTCGTGAAACAAAATAATAATTAAATCATCCGTAGTATGAAAATTTAAATTGTAACAGCAATAAAAAGACGAAGAAGAAGAAACGACAGAAGTAATAGGATGGAGTAATGGCTATGGTATCTTTTGCTGCTGTGCGTTTAGCAATGTATTCGGTCTTCCACGAATTTATATGTATTTTAAAAAATACAAGATTTACCTTCTCACAATTATTTTTCCTATATTTAGTTTTTTGAAATAAAAAAAATCCATATAAATTAAAAAAACTTAACTACATAGAAATAGATACTACAGGACTAAAAATTTACCCGCCGTTTAGATGGTTAAACGGATGAGATAACGTTATTTTCTGAATTTTGGATTGGACTCGAGTTCTTGAGGACTGATCTGGATATTGCATTTGTTCGACCCGCTACTTTTCCTCTCAAGCCCAGGCCTACATCGGTTTGAAAATGGGCTTGCAGATTGGGCCGTGGCGCGGAGGAGTATGAGTGAAGAATGCATGGTGGCGAAGGGAGGGTTTGGCTCCCTTTGCAGTGAGGAAGAAAAAGAGATGAGCGTGGAAGATCTTCCGCGGAAGGAGGCCAACGTGCTTAAGGGTCACGAGGGTGCGGTGTTGGCGGCGAGGTTCAACTCCGACGGCAATTATTGTCTCAGTTGCGGCAAAGACCGTACCATACGCCTCTGGAATCCCCACCGTGGAATCCACATCAAGACCTATAAATCCCATGGTCGCGAGGTTCGCGATGTCCACGTCACGCCGTACTCTTTCTCTCTCTCTCTCTCTCTCTCATCACTACATTCATTCATCATATCTCTATTTTCGTAATGTCATTCGATTACTTAGTGAATCGTGAAATTTATGCATATTCAGAATGCAGCAAACATGTCTTAGATTGTAGAATTTCGTACTTCAATTGTGGTTGTGAACTGTGATGAACTCTAAGTGCCATAATACGCTGTTTTGCATGTTATTATAGTGACAACTCCAAGTTGTGTTCGTGCGGTGGAGATCGACAGATATTTTATTGGGATGTCGCAACTGCACGTGTAATTAGAAAATTTCGTGGCCATGATGGTGAGGTGAGTTATCCTTTCTTTGCATGATAACGTGTTCATTTTTAAGTCATTTTCTCTTTGGATGGTGATATTGATTATTTCTTTTGCAGGTAAATGGTGTAAAGTTCAATGAGTATTCATCTGTTGTAGTCTCAGCCGGATATGATCAATCGTTGCGTGCTTGGGACTGCAGATCCCACAGCACTGAGCCAATTCAGGTGTATTTCATAAACTCAACCCCCCCCCCCAACCACCCATACACACTTTTGTTTCTCTAACAATTATTTATTACATGCCATGCATTCACCGGGTTATTAATCAAAAGTTGCAATTGACGTGCAGATTATTGATACATTTGCAGATAGTGTGATGTCTGTCTGTTTAACAAAAACTGAAATTATCGGAGGAAGTGTTGATGGAACTGTTCGAACATTTGACATTCGTATTGGCAGGTTTTATGCAACATATTTGGAAAATTTTGATGACCATTTTTCATTTTTTTGTAACTCATGAATTTATGTCTATAATAACTTATCAACAAATGTGTTGGGTGATATTTCATGATGAAAGAGATACCCTACTGTTGGACAATTTATTGTTGCCCTGAAATTTATTTACATTATGAAATTCTGCTAATATTCTCTTTTCTGTTCACCAGAGAAATATCTGATAACTTAGGGCAACCTGTCAACTGTGTATCAATGTCAAATGATGGTAATTGCATTCTAGCTGGTTGCTTGGACTCTACTTTGCGCCTCTTGGACAGGTATGTTATGAAACATTTTGGGAAAGTATACTGTGGGTCTATATCCCTTTGAGCTTCACCATCCTTTGTTGTGGCAGATCCACGGGTGAACTACTACAAGAATATAAAGGACACACTAGTAAGGTTAGTCTTCAGATGCCTAAATCTGGTTTTAGCACTTTCTAATGTTCTACATATAGCATTATTTAATTATACTGGAAGATACCAGGTGCATGCTCGCTAGAAATTGTGGGATACAAACTGAAATTCAGTTTCATTTATATATCTGTATTTCAGGATTACTATTTATTGATTCCTGCAATTATTCATTCCTAAAGCATGTTTTTTGTGTTTGAAGTAACTCTAGGGTGTGCTTGGGAACACGGCTTGTTAAAAAGCATTTATTTAATAAGTTCTTTTTATACAAGGGCTTGTTGTATAAATTTGACTGTAAATCTTCTTGTAATAAACTTAAAAGTACTTATTCTGATAAATTATATAAATAGGTTTAGTTTGGATGAACTTCTAGGGAAGTCGTGTAAGAGAAAATTAGTATAAAAAATGAACAAAATTTCTCTTTTAAGTTAAAAACAACTTTTACTTCTCTATCTTTTGAGAAATGTTTTCATTTAATTTCTCTAAAATTTGAGTTGTTTCTCATAAACTCTTCTAAATGCTTCCTGGCTATGTTACAAACTTTTTTACTATTCATTTTTATGAAATTTGAATCATTTTATATTGAACTATTCTCAGTCTTACAAATTGGATTCCTGCCTTACCAATACGGATGCTCATGTAACTGGTGGCTCAGAGGATGGCTTTATTTATTTCTGGGATCTTGTAGATGCATCTGTTGTTTCGAGATTCAGGGCTCATACGTCAGTGGTAAATATCTTTTACTAGTTTATTCTTTCTGGAAGAAAATTGTGCAAAACATGAATTAATGATTTTATGGCTTCTTCAAATTTTCAATTCTTACACAAAAAATGAAAAAATTGTTCCTCGTGGTACTAGCTTGATACCCTTTCACATATAATGTTGTTTGATAATTATGCTCATTCATTTAAATCATGTATGATTTCTTATGGTGTGGTTTATGTTTGAGTGAGGCGCTCTTATTTAGGCATTGTATTAAAAGCCCAGTTAGAAAATTGTTATTAAATACTTAATAGTCCAAATAGTTTGGTAATTTTACAGGAATTTTGTTGTTGCTTTAATTAATGTTCCGTATGTGGCATCTTAGTGTTATCAATTTGAAGTCTGATGATAATGTCGTCATTACCTTCATCTATGGGATTGAATTCTTCATTTGGTTCCAAGATAGTCTGCGTACTGCAGCTGGGACAGATGGCATTTTGGGTTTTATAATGTAATCATCATTCTACTTTTAGAGATGCAAAGTTTTGTGCATAATTTGCTTCTAAATAACAACTGTTGGAAGGATGTGAAAATTATATAAATGCATGGGTTTTCTGTCAGGTAACAAGTGTTAGTTATCACCCAAAGGAAAACTGCATGGTTACTGCTTCTGTGGATGGCACCATTCGAGTATGGAAGACATAAGAACAAAATGCAAGCACCAAGCTTATCTGGTGTGTCGGCGCGGCCCATACCAATGCCAAATAGCGTAACGATTATTACATGTCCAATTTGCAATTGGAATCCACAGACACGATGTTCCTTCAAGTTATTTATATGTATATTCTTCGGCAGGTTTGACCTACATGTGCTTCTCATGTGGAAGATGGTAAACGAGGTGCGAGTCTGTTCGGTGCTGCATCTCTGATATACGGTCAAATCACAAACAGTTTTTGTCACCCAAGAGGGGTTGCGTACTGTGTAACACTTGTAGGGAAAATGAGTTTTCTTCTATCCATTACGTTGTGAAATATACACAGTTCATCCTATCCATATTTCATCTGTTCGTTAATTATGTGGTTTTCAATCTTGGTTTTACTAATGTAGTTGGTGAACAAATAGCTGTGATGCTGTTATGTAGCTACAAATCTATGCTTTTATCCTTGGCTGGTGTTTTTCCAGTGATCTAACCAGTGTTCCAATGATGAAAGCAGACAGCGAAGACTTGCAGCAAGTTTCGGGATTGTTCATTTCATTAATCCTTTCTCTACTTGACTTGATAATTTTTTAAAAGTTGATTAGCGTTTTTCATTTATATAATTATAAAGGCTTTATTAGTTAAATCAGTGTTGTTAATAGACGATTGAATTAAAACATGTTGAACAAAGTTGTCTTTTTCGCTTGTCAAATTACTTCGTCATGTCTATGACCTTTTTCCTTTTGGTGATATAACGTTTTTAACAATATAAAACATTTCCCACATTATAATCATTGTCACGATAGAATCTAAACTAATAGTAATCACTTCACTTTACAATATAACTAAGCACGAAAATTTTGATCAATATTTTTTCTTTCGCTACAATAATTTTGTGTATAGATCAACCGACACATCGGCGATGAGACACCAGGTGTGGTTCGTGTTCGTGTTTGGAAGCAAAGTAACTTAATCACTCATACCTTTTTTGGTGAGTAAAACTGCGTCCAGCCAAGCAAGTTATAAGCTTCTATAGTTGTTTTGATTATTTTTTTAGTCTCGCTATCACACTTTTCCGGCAAGAAGGATTCTCCTGTACATGTGGCTTGCAATTATAACAACAATTATAAAAGTGGCAGTTATTGTCATTATCGTGGTCATGATTGTATCTTGTAAATGTACATTTTAGCAATTTTTATATTGAATATAAAAATATTTCATAATAAACATGTCAAATGAACGCGGTTTAAACACCATTTTATCTTGGTAAAGTTTATTTATCTCATGGACGTGATTAGCTAAGGAAATACTAGTTAGACACAATTTGTGGATCTGGTATGGGCAACTTTACCCCATTAGGCTATTTATATTCGCCTTGAGGAACCATTCCCCTTTGATTGTAAGGGTGATAGAATTGTTTATTGCGTATAATTACGTATCTCGCAAATACATGTTTGATGGCTAATTGATATTTCAGTATCAAAAGTACGATATTTAATTTACGTATGTCGTGCGTTGTATGCGTATTTATAAATGTAAATAAAAATAAGAATATCGAAATATGTAAAATTTTAATTTTAAAAGCCTAAAAATAATTTTATTCATAGAAGGTTATTTATAAACATCCTATTAATGTTAATGTTGATTAGACAAAGGTGTATAGTAATTAAGAAATTAAAAAATAGAACCGTCTTTAAAATTAAATACCAATTATAGAAAAAACTCTCAATATAATTCAATATGAAAACTATATATTAAAAAAGACGTTTGATACATCTAAACATGTGAAAAAGAAAATACATACAAAAATTGTTTTACACGGATAAATTAGAAGATGCTCATAAATTTTAATGACGTATGTGAAATGCAGAAAAGTAATAGGATCTTGATTTCAATGCATGTTATATTCCTCCTAGTCAACACAGATAAAATATTGTTTGATGGACATGCTATACCAATCCATCTTATGTATATTGATTTTAGTATTAATAACTCTAAAGGTAGGTGGTCTGTCAAAATTAATATTTCAATGAACTAGCTGGGGAGAAAGACTTGTATTTGGGGTTGTCCAATTATAATAATGAATACCCTTTACTTGTTGTGGTGTAGAACCTTTGTATTTTTATTAAAAGCAACTCGAAGAAAAATATATCCTATAAAATAAACAAAGGACAGAGAGAGAGTGGCACCGACAGTTTTGATAGGCAATAGCGAATGATCTATATGTCTGAAATGACGGGTCCATAATGCAATGAATAATATTTTTCGAAAAACAGAGAAAGAAATGAACAAGTTAGAAGGGCCAATTTAGTGTGTTGAATGAGTTGCAGAATAAGAAAGAAAGCATGAGCATTTGAAGCAATGGCATTGATGCAAAAATCCGTACCAAAGAGAAATTGCAGTGGAAATGAAAGGTTGGTAGTGCTAGGCTGGAACCATTGATTCAACATGTCAAATATCTACGCCCGATAAAGTGCCCCAATTTTTCTCTTTAGATTTTGTAATTGGTATGGTTAGTGTTTAGTGTTAGAGCATCGTGTGGTTCACAGTTCACTTTCCACCCAACACATTGCCAGCTGTGGCCTCTTGTTCATGGCCCCATCTAAATTATGATATTGGAACTTGCTTTGTTGTTTTTGGCCCCACCTCACTCACATGCTTTTTAACGTGCCATGTTGTTATTATAAAGTTCCATCACTAATCCAATCATCAATTATGAGCTTTGTAATTAGCTTAACTTGGCGTTTCCACAAATACCCTTTTTTTCCCTTAAATAATATTTTGTTATCACGTGTAAGATTGAAAACTTGTTTAGTCTTGTGTATGTTGCTTAAAAAGTAAAAACCACTTGATAATTAAAATTCAATTAATACTATTAGTCAATGTTTCTTCGTCTTCTTTTTCTTAACTCTCGTTTAGTCGTTTTATGGAAAAAGGAAAACTGTTTCTTTCCGAAGGAAATGACTGTTACCTTATTTTGGAAGCCCTTTGCGTTACCACTCACGTTGGAGAAAAGACAAACGATAAAATTAACGTTTCATTAAAGGAAATGTTGCATTGACAATCGTATAACGATTTATTTGAGGTGGGATTAATGTATTAATCATGCCGTTTTAAGAACCAAAATCTTTGTTTTTTTTCAGAAAATTACATTTTTTTGCTCTTATAAAATGTTATGTATAAAGTAATTAAATTTTTATTTTGTCGCTTTGAAAAATGTCATGCATTAACATTAAGAATTGTGTTTTTTTTTTCTTTACATATTTATTTAATAAATGTTGCATGTTTACAGAAACAACATGATGGATCACATTGAAAGACAATCAATTAGATTGATATGTTTGTGCATGTTGTAGAATACCTCGCTGTATTTTTGTACCATATGCTTTAGAATACTTCAATGAAACTTAAAGGAATGCTCTCTTTTTTTTGCCGTACAAAGATATAATGAAATTGCATTAGACCTTTCTTTTTTAATTGACGTCAAGAAAATAATAGCTAATGCCACTTTTTTTAATTTAGAAATGGTGACAAATACAACTAACCGAATAATTTAATGTGTCGATCAACAGAAAATAATAGATATGGTTGGGTATGTTTGGAGCGAGGTACTATGCATTTACTTGGGTTTCAAATTAAGACAGTATTAGTGAGAAATTCATTCAGTGTGTCACTATCATTATTTTAATAAATTTTAAATTTATATATTTGAAAAAATACGATATAAAAGCATACCATTTTTTTTTAAATAAACAATATAATTATTTTATTTAGAGAATATGGTAAGTTTAAATGATTAAAGTATTCTCTTTAAAGTGTGTCAAGGTTAATTTTTATAACAAAAATAATATTAAACTCTTGTATCATAAGCGTAAGTTCTCATTTTTAACATAATAATGTATTTTTTATGTTTGACATGTGACTTCACCATTATTTACTGGTTGTTTTTCATATTTTAAAGCCTTTTATATAACTAGTTTTAAAATTCATTTTTACGTTAAGATGTTTTTCCAATTTGCAAATTTAATTATGTTTAATTGTTATGTCAATTTAATTAATCTTTTATTTTTTGAAAACCTCGACTAATTTATTTGAATTAAGTATATATATTTACATTGTCATTTTAGCTTTATCATTTTTAATTTTGCTTAAATTATAAAATTACTCATATAACAGACTTCTGGTTTTAATATTAAAATAAATATTGAAACCAATTGAACTTATTACTTGAAGAGATAAAATTTTTATAAAATAAATTTAAAAACAAGTAAGAAATTTAGTTTTTAAAAAACTAATAATCATAAAGTCACATATTATATAACGTAGAATAAATTAAATTAAAATTATTTTCATATTTAAGAATAAAAATTAAGTTTATTATTTAACAAAGAAAAAAATCAACTAACATTTTTTAAAAATATTTTAGTAAATCTTCAGTTTTATAAGCGTGAGATAATCTTTTATTGGTTGCTTGGAAAGAAAAGTTTTGGTAAAAAATGGAAGACAATTTTTTATTTAAATAAATATATTTAAATTTTTAAAAAAATATAAATTATTATATTAGTATAAAGTCAGTGTATTAATTATAGTTTGATTATTATAAATGATATATAATTATTTTAATTTGAATAATGTGTTATTTTTTCTCTTTTTTATTTTTTTCAAACGTATTCTTGAAATACAGTCAAATATTAAAGTCAAAATTTTTTAATAAAATTTTTCATTCATATAAACATTAGAATTTAACCTAAAACACATGTTTGGGGGGCTTGTTTACATACCGTATATGTTCTCAGTTTTAAAATCTTAAGTGCAGATTTAAAATAAAAGCATATTTAATATCATAGACTGAATATTTTGTAATCCGATTTTGAAAGACATAAACAAAATATTATATTTTTAGTTGTAAAATCATATGATTAAATTCTCTCAATTTTTAATGGAAGATCAACATATGGCATATCATCGGCATTAGTGTTATTTTTATTGCATAGTATTATTATTATAGTCACTTTTACCATTCTCCCAAGTTATTGTCCTATTATCGTTACCATAATCACTACATAATTCAAATTTTAAAATTTAATAATTATAATATTATTTTTATTTTTAATTCATAAAAATTTTAAATTCATGAAATAAATAAACAAAAAAACATGAGTATATATTTTTTGCACTACAAGCACCTTCCATTAAAATTATCTTATTTGAGCTTATTAAAATTATTATTAGAAAAAATATTTTTATTCTGAATATTTAATATCATTATATTTACTAAAATTTAAATTTGGAACTATAGGTTAAACTAAAATAAGAGATATTAATTTTATTGTTACGTTGAAGTTAGTTAAGCAATTGCTTTCGTGCAAATATTAATTTCTTTGCAATTTGTATTAAATTATTCTATGCCCAGCAGCGCTATTCAAAATTGATATAATTTTTTGTTAAATTATTAAACTTATGAAGAAAAAATAAAAAAGCTGTATTTTATATTACAACTTTATTTAATTTAGTGTTTAATCAAACTAAATTTA